TAGTTCCTTTCTGCCAGTCGCAGCCGTCTGTTTGTGCCAGGCTTACAGCAATCAATCATTTGGCGTCCCAACAGAACACCAGCCCCCAATGTTTACTCGTTCTGGTCTTGCACACTGCGCTCTAGTTTTCCGCTTCAGCAAGAATCCTGACTTATTCTAGCCCTCTTTCTGCGTTTTCCGAATAATTCGTTTTTGGAGGGGTTTACAGGATAGATGAACGGTCCCTATTATCAAGGTGCTCCGCATTCCATGAAGTCATGCTCATCTTGTAGCGATCCAAACTTAATCTCATCGCCCTCAGTACAAAATGAAAACACTTCAGGATCTCAAGAAACTTAAATGGATGTTTTGATTTTTTGTTGTGGGTTTAGATAGCGTTTCACTGGCGATGTTTTCCAGTGACATATAATTACCCAGTAATATTTATACATTCCCTGCCTACTTAACATATTTTAATACAAAAACACAGTGGACCACTACCGCGCCCCGACCACCTGGCTTAGCAAGATTTCTGGGGGAAACCCTGCACAGAATCAGTCCAGTACCGGTCCACATTCTCAGGGGAGAAAGACTCAGCTGGTATAAATAAGATTTTTAGCTTTTGGAGTTACGCTTAAGAGAAATGTATTTAATCAAAGAATGTCATGAATATGTGTGTATGTAGGGCTGCACCAATTGCAGTTTTCTGACCGATCTCTGGTTACCAATCTTTAAAAAGCCTGACCTGCCAATTTTTATTTTCGCAATTTTGTTTTTGGTCTGAAATGTCAGACCAAAAACAAAACAAAGACAAGCCAAAAACTGTGACTTTCTTTCTATAGCAAGAAGGTCACAGTGGGGTGAATATTGTTAATTGTAAATGTGCAATTGAGTTGCATGATGACCTGACCTGGTGGGTCGGTCTGTGGTCTCTTACTGTAGAGCAGAAAAGGAGAGAGGATGACTTTTAAACCTTTACTGATGAAAATAAGATCAGGGGATAAGATGGGCTTCATGTGTAAGTATCGACTGATCACAGTCCCCCAAAATTAAGGAAATTGGTGCCCAGAAATCAACTGGTCGATAAATCAGTTGGCCAATAAATGTATCCTTTTATACATGTATATAATGTAAACAGCACTGCGAGAGATGCAATAAGTTTATAGCAGGTGTCTGAATGATCTCCTGATTGCAGCCAGTCCACATTGTTAGCAGATCTAGAGGGCCCCAAAATCAAATTTCACTTAGGGCCCCATAGAGGCTTGGGCCGGCCCTGGTGCAACTACAAGTTATTCCTGCGGTTCACGTATAGCTGCACTACCAGAGCTAACGCAGTGGAATTTAAACTCCTACCTTGATCAAAAACTCTGGAAAGAAAAATAATTCCTCACATGGGGTTGATGTAAATATCCATACAGGGCAGCCTGTGTCCAGCTTGAATGAAAGGAGGCACACACGATCCGCGAAGAGGTTAACTTAATCCAGCTGCTGCAGATACGAGGCAACATGCATAGGCAACACGCAGAGGCAACACGCAGAGGCAATGTGCAGAGGCAACACGCAGAGGCAACATGCAGAGGCGCCAGCGGTGTGATTGGTCTGGCTTTAAATGCATAAACTATAATCCTATCTTCTATAAACAAACTGGCTTAAAAATAATCAGCTCCGCTGAGGGGGCCCCTTAGTGGCCTTGGGGCCCTAAGCGGCTGCTTGGTTTGCTTATGCCTTGGGCTGGCCCCGGGGAGGAGTCAGGGGAGCTTGATTTTTTTCATAGACTCTAATATTATACTGTCATCTAAATTCACATGAGAACGACTTTGTGAAGGCTTTGAAATGGTACAGCAAAATTCCAAAACTAAATTGAACAGACAGTCTGTGGGCTAACCTGGAGAAGGCTGTGGACAAGAAATGAGAACAGATTTTTCTAGACAGAGTGGATAGATACTAACAAGTCTACAAGTCTACTAACAAGATACTGAAAGACTTTTAACAGACTGAATGCTGAAAAGGAATCACAAGGTATTGATTTAAGAGTGTGCACAAATGACTAAATGGACTTGCATAAGATTTTCCTACATGAATGGCCTTCATTCACTATATTCAAACAGGAAGGGATGAAGAGGGTTTCATCCAGAAAGGCTCCAGATCAAGTCAGTGATGGCAGGGTCAAGCACAAAAGCCTGTGGATACTGAGTGCCTGAGCTGCTGCTACTCTAAGTAACCTAACCTGCTGATATTCAAGATCCAGAGTAATGGAGAAACTTGTTGAGTCTTCATTGTTTTAGTCATGTTGTACTGCCCCTGGAGCCTTAGGAAGCCTGAAAGCTTTGGACAAAGCTGAATATTGACACCTTAGTCAGCGCTATTTCCAGTTTAGTGTTCTGATAAAAGTGTGGCAGGATGAAACTGACCTCGGGGTGTTATAGGCCTGTGTGGAGGATCAATAGCTTCAAACTAGAGACCTAGTTAGCAGCAACATTGAAATAGAGTCGGCCATAGAGCACAGTGGGGTTTTAGCAGTCTTCAAGGGACAGTTAATGAGTCCTGATGTTGCTGCAGATGGATCATCTTTTTTGTAAGATCTTTATGATCAAATACACAAAGCAAGGGCTCTAGAAGACTGGTAAGTACAGCTTTTCCTTTGATATTTAAAACATTAACATAAAAGTCTTGCAATACATGTTATCTTCTTTATTCACTCAGCTACTAATAATGTGAGAGAAGATGGGAGACTGGAACTTGTTGGGGAGCATCTTAGAAGAGGTCCACATTCATTCGACTATTGTGGGGAAAATCTGGCTCACTATCCTCTTTATCTTCCGGATGCTTGTACTTGGCGTTGCAGCAGAGGATGTTTGGGACGATGAGCAAAGTGAGTTTGTCTGCAACACAGAGCAGCCAGGCTGCAAGACTGTCTGCTATGACCAGGCATTCCCTATCTCCCTCATACGCTACTGGGTCCTGCAGATCATCTTTGTGTCCTCTCCCTCACTGGTCTACATGGGCCATGCTCTGTATCGCCTGAGAACCCTTGAAAAAGAGAGGCACAGAAAAAAGGCCTGCCTGAAGGCAGAGCTGGAGGGGGCAGATACTGACCAAGAGGACCACAAGAGAATCGAGCGGGAGCTCAGGAAGTTAGACGAACAGAAGAAAGTCAGGAAAGCTCCGCTCAGAGGATCATTGCTGCGCACATATGTTTTTCATATCCTGACCAGGTCTGTGGTGGAGGTGGGTTTCATCATTGGTCAGTGTGCTCTTTTTGGCATTGGATTATCTCCTCTGTACAAGTGTGAGAGACTGCCGTGCCCCAACAGTGTTGACTGTTTTGTGTCAAGGCCTACAGAGAAAAATATTTTTATGGTGTTCATGCTTGTCATTGCCGGAGTGTCTTTATTTCTCAACCTTCTGGAGATTTTCCATCTGGGTGTGAAGAAGATCAAGCAAATCCTTTATGGATACAAATATGGAGATGATGACAGTGTCTGCAGGTCAAAGAAAAATTCTATAGTGCAACAGATTTGTGTTCTGACAAACTCCTCACCACAAAGGCTGATCCAGCTGACTCAAGTTGCCAATCCTGTTTCATCAGATCCTTACAAGGATGCTCAAAGAGATGTGCTGCCTTGTAACTTGGTTCCACTAGGTTGCCAGAACACAGAAGGCATGGACATCTCACAGCAGCATCCTGGACAGACGTTCCGGCCGAGCCAAGGTGACATCCAGCATTTGAGGCAACTGGGGGCTGTGGAGCGGCGGCACACTCTGGAGAATAGAAAACCGTCCTTCAGCAGCGATGAGTCAAACGGACCTCATTGCTCTGGTAAACCTCACTTTGCAGGACCGCGAGCAACGCTGGTGGCCAGCCATATTGAGATCCCAGCTGCCCTGAGGATCCCTCAGAGGAAGCAGAGTAAAGTCAGTGTCTGCAAGGAACTCAGCGACATGAGTGATTCTCCAGAGAGCGACCACTATCCCACAGCCAGGAAGTGCAGCTTTATGTCCCGAGGACTGTCAGAGGCCAAGCTCGCCAGTCCGTCTGACAGCGGCGCCTCTCAGAGTGGAACAGATACCGAAGCCCAGCACTTCAACCAGGGGGAAAGCCCAGTGATGACCCCACCACCCCCCACCTCTGGGAGGAGGATGTCCATGGTAAAAACACATTCCTTCTAGTGAAAACTGTAGCACCCTATGTTTTGCTTAACCTAATATAATGCTGAAAATGTTTTTTTTTTTTTTTTTTTTTGTGCTGATGCAATAAAACCACGCATATTTGATTCAGTGGAGTAGAAGAGAGAGATTTTTAGATTTGTGTTATTCTCTGCTGGGCTACAACAGGACACCCAGACCGGTCCTGGTTCTTAACCCAGAGCATTTCATGATGATGACACATCATAACAGATGATGTTATGATTTTCTGGTAAAAAAGAAATGTCTCAGTTGATAGGACAAAATGATATTAAAAAAAAAAACTTTTCTCATAAGTCCTATGAAGAGAATGCAACACAAATCTCTGCTATGAAAAACACCCCAAAACTTACCAAGCCATACAAGAAATCTGTGAAAACTGTGCTGTTGTCTAATTTTGTGTGGAGGGTATTTAGATATAGATCTAATGCACAATGCTCCAGTCTAATCTTCAAATAAGACCACCTAAATATGTATGAGTTAGATCAATAGAATGAGCTCCATCACCATGCACAGAGGAGCATTATTTAACTGAGAGAGAGACTAGGATAAAATTATGTTTTGTACACCACAGAAGTTTGAAGAGATTTATATTAATATATATCTCAACCGACATGACTTGTTGGAGTCTGAACAATATGTTTATTAATGCATATCTTACCAGTTCTACAAGTCAAACATTTCAGATAAAGATACTTTTATTTTTCAGCCATTCAGTTGTATTTAGTAGGCTCAAAATTACCAACTGGAGACAGCACCTGATTATCAGGAAATAGTAATCAAATAGTTTTCCATCTCAGTTATTGTTTTGTGATCACTTGCCTGATGAGGTTTGATATTAAATAACAGTAGCTAAAAGATTATGTTTAGCACTGAGGAGAGAATAAGTTCTGCACACTTATGGAAAACAAACAACTTCTCTCCAAAATATAAGAATGTATTAACAAAATTTTATTTCTATATTTATTAGCAAGATATAGTAGTACAGCTCAAAACTGATTATCGGGTGGTGGATCATAAAACTCACTAATTTAGTAGCACTGAGCTAAACTACTGTAAGTAAAAATGAAAGAACAATGAAAACCACTAGAATAAATAATAAATTCAATAACCAATTAAATAATGCAGTAATATCACAGCTCAGAATGAGTATGTACATTTAATAAATAATTTGAAATGAGGACAAATTAACTTTAAACTAAATCAAATTCAGCTTAAGACTAAATTGAGAACACTTGGTATGTGTTCAACAGTTCACCATGTTTAGCAGTGAAGATCAAAACATTTTACAAAGTAATGTTTCATGAACTAATTTGCTAAGAGGTCTGGAAGGTTGATACAACAACTGCAGGCCTTTAATGTATTGTGGTGCTACGTTGTTCAGTAATTTATAAACTAACAGTATTTTAAAGTCTATTCTCTCAGTGAAGGACTTTAGAACTGGTGTGATGTTCTCTATCTTCTTGGTTTTAGTCAGAACACCAGCAGCAGCGTTCTGGATCAGCTGCAGCTGGAGGATTGATTTTTCTTTAGGCAGACCTGTGAAGATATAACTCAAGATATAGATTGCAGAATAATGTCCATCCATCCATCCATCCATCCATCCATCCATCCATCCATCCATCCATCCATCCATCCATCCATCCAT